CCCTTATCTGCCGATGATTTACAAGCTCAGTAGTCCATTTAGGTCTATGAATAGACGTTAGCATTACAAAACAAATCCAATAAACCAGTCGACTGTTTGGAGGATGGTGCCTAAAAGATGATTAGAGAAAACTTGTAGCAAGGCATATTGATCAGTGATTACCATCAGCATTCGATCGATGGAATACCACTACTTCACCTTGGAATGGATTGTGATGTGAAAACATCTGCACACTCCAAATCTACTCTAACGGAAGGTTTCAGTGCGCTATAACTCTTACGCAGCGTAATAAAAAGTTTTAAGGGGAACATGTTGAGGTTACTCTACCACATGTGCGTATTACCTCATATTATTATTAATATTATTGTTATTATTATTATTATTATTATTATTATTATTATTATTATTATTATTATTATTATTAGTCCCTTGGGTTCCTAATGGAATATAGGGATTCAGTAGCACGTCTCCATTCCACTCTGTTCTCTGAAATCTTTTGAACCTGGCTCCACGACAGCCCACAACCTCTCATTTCTTCCTCGCACGATCTCCTCCATGTCACCCTCACCACGGACACCCAACTCGTCGTTTCCCATCAAGGTTCCACTCGAGCAAGTGGCCTGACGTGTGATGTCCCCAGTTGGCCTTCTCAGTGTATGCCTAATCCATCTCCACTTCCTTCTGCATATTTGTTGGGTGATAGGTTCTTGGTTGGTTCGTTGCCAGAGTGAGTTCCTTGTTGCTTATTCTTTCCGGCCATCTGATCTTCAGTAGCTTACCTCACATAGAGAACTACAATTTGCTACCTAGTTCTTTCTTTAAGACCAGTTATCTTTACAAGAAACTCCAAAAAACCGTGACCAAGTTAAATGATTTTGAAAATATGACTGCAGTTAAAGCATTCTGAAAGGCTTTTAAGTGCTATGATGAGGTCATATTATTCAAGGTATCATATCCTATCTGCCTAACATCTTCACCCTAGTTTTTACTTTAAGAAAAAAGCAGACACTGAAATAGATAAAAGAAACAGGTAATAAGTTGGACATATAACTCTTCCACTTCCCCTATGATAGCTGAGGCACACTTTGAAAAAAGAAGTGACTTTTTCAATGCTTTTGATAGAATTAGTTTTTGTTATGTTATTCACATCAATGCTTTTCAGTAAACCTTGACTCAAAGTAATTCAGTTAAAGTTGGGATTTTTTGACCACTTTCTCCGAGTTTTGTAGTACTATGACCAAAGTGGTTGTGTTCCACACCATTATGATGGTGTAAGATATTTTAGCTGAAAGTTTAATACTCAACTAAATTGTGTTAGTCTTTTTATATACGTCTTCCAGTAACAGTTGTATTCAAAATGGTTGATTCATTTCGTCAATGCAGAAAGTGTAACTGTCAGTTCACTGTGCACGAAGGTATGTAGCACGATAACTGCAGTAAATGATAACATAAAATGCATACCGACAAAGGACCAATTGAGTACAAGCGGTATAGCATCCATAATTCTCGGTGGATATGCAAACCTTGCTGCTTTCCTAAAACGACTATTGTATAGGAAACTATAGCCCTATTGTCATTAATCCTGTCACTGACTGCAAATTATCACTATCGTCAAACGTCCTTCTATGATACCCATAGAAATAACGAAGTTGGTTCTGATACTAGACTCACCATCAATTCCCGTTGACATCCCAAAGAGTGTCAGATGTTCTAGGCAGTACAAAGGTGTAGATCTGTCTACTGACACTGCAGGAATTTTCAGTGCCAGTACCATCCAGCCGCCGAGACCTGTGAAACCAAGTAGTTCAGATAGAGCAGCACATCTCGCTTCGACTTCTACCGTAGGGTTAAGGCAGGGAAAATTTTCGAATGGCCTAGATACAACCGTAAGGACTGTGTTAACCTAGGTAGTGATGCAGTCGTGAAACCCTAAGTATTTATGGTTAAAAAAGTAGAGTATAAAGTTCTAGTAGGGAAAGCAATCAAGTGGAGGGTGAAAATCCTGAAATCAAGTATCACCACTGATAGAAGTAATCAACAAAACCTACGACACCTTATAAGGGAAGCTACTAACTGCACAATTAGTAAACATCAAACTGTATACAATTTTAAAATGTATAGTAGCAATGAAATCAAATGTTGATTAGTGAGAGCAGACTAATATGTCTCATTGGTCGCTTGAAGATATAGCTAAAAGGAAGAGTGCTGACTGAACTAGAAATCAGATGTTAGGAGGGTCAAAAAGCTTGAAACTGGTGAGTTTCTGAATAGCCAGGTCTTAGAAGCGAATTGGTACACTATGAGAACTACAAATGTGTTACGTTAAGGCTCGAAGTCTCGGGGACAAAATTCACGAGCTACAGCGCATAGGTGATGAAATCCATATGGCCATTGCAACTTATTGAAACGTGAAATTTTGATTTAGAAGTAGAGCCAATGTTATCAGGATATCTTGCTCTTCATAGTGATAGGATAAAACGTCGTAGTGGCGAGGGAGTACTATTATATTTCAGCAATATTCTGAATGATAGGCCAGCCACTACTGCAGCGTACAAAAGTGAGACACGAGCTATGAACAATTACAGATTCCCATTTGACTTTTGACATCTGAGCTTGTCAGTTGTTAAGTTTTCCCAGACAAATATATCCTTGTCGTGAGTACTGTCGATCGTAAGCCAGCTTCCTAGACTGGTGAATTTATACTGGAGCATATCAGCAACTATATGGGAATAAATTGCCTAAATCAGGTTTAAATGTCATCTATAAGGTTCAGTAATACAGTCAATCGTAACCTACTTTCTTCTGTTACGAACCATATCCTGATCCAACACGTTTGTAGTGATACAATTTTTAGCTTCAGTCACTGATCTTTTCTATTAAACCCGGAGCTAACACATGAGGCCCTACCTCCGTTAGTAACCAACAAACATGCAGTACTTTCATATGAACTCAGAATTTGCACCACCGTTTATAATGTTTGGCCGCAACCAAAAATAAAGTATATGAACATTATAGCCATCAATGCACGTGCTACATCTGTAGTTAGTGCTAACTTATCTGATGACTAGTTCAAGATAAACAAACACTGAAACATCGAAACTCTCTGCCAAGACACGTGGTTTCAGAACCTTCTGTTGGTGTCTTCATAGGAAAACTGGACAGCCAATTTATTACAAATTGCAACAATTTATACAGGCCTTTGTCTTGCTAACCCTACTCCAGAAACAGAAACTAAAGCGACTGGAAGGCTTAGTTCTTTCCCTATTATGACATCGTAGGAAAATATAGTAGGAGTGTATGGAAAAAGAACTACTGTTTATCTGTGATACTCTAAGGGAAAACGGATTTTCAAATAAATTCATCAAAAGTAAAATCAACTACATTGGTCCTAAGCAAGAACTGATGACAGTGGAGAAGAGGCCTTTATTTCTGCGCTCACAATCCAAGGGCGATGTTGCGAGTGACATTCTTTCACAGCACATAACTAGAGCAATCAATAGGACGTTTCATCCAGGTCGGCTTTGCATATCATTCAGTAGCCTGGCAATGTCGAATCCGAGACTGATGGATAACCTACCTAATTTTAGCTCTTTATCTTGCGTATACTAACTTAACTATTCCAGTAGAACTAGTTACGCGGGGCCTACGGTTAGACATGAGTCTCTGAATACGAGAGCATTTACCGGCTTCCTTCAGAAAAGGGGAAGTGAAAGTGGTGAAAAGTCCAGTCCTAGCACATCTAGTCGACACAGGGCATCATCACATAGATGCTAATAAAGCTTTCAATGTCACTTATCGTGTCTTAAAAACGACACCATGTGTAGTTCACCAATGCTTGCTCAACACAGCGGAGGTTGTAGCAGTAAGATTGATCAAGCCTGAACTCAGCATTCGGAAAGAACTTGTCTAAGCGTTACTTCTCCCTTGGCATTCAATAAACCAAGGGCCAATCCCGCTATTTTATTTGTTATATTTTGTTCATCATCATATCATTTTTTATCATTTAATTACTGACTAATTTTAAAAAAAACATCGATTTCTTTACAATCCCTAAATCTCATTCCACTTTGAAAATGTACCTCCCCCTAACACAGCTTGATTTTACGCTGCACAGATGCATTTTATAACTGTAGAACCTAAAGAAAACTTATTGAAAAGAATATTCTTCGTTTACATTGTTGCTTTTTACAACTATAGAGACGTGTTTAAACTTGAAAAATATATTGATTTTGATATCTCTCACAGTTATATCCTTCTAGAACTGGTTGTCTGGGAGGTTAACAAGAAACGGTTCAAAAGCGACAGTCGGACAAACTAGGGACAGAAACCATATTTTTTCATTGTTGGTAACAAGTGAAAACAGTTACCAGAATCAATGGCATCTCCAGGGTAGAGTGAATATTCTTATATAAGTCTACAGAATAAGATAATACTAGGCCTTCACACTACTTGGAAGCTTATACCCAGCTGGCAAAGACTATGGGTGCACTTTGACATTTTTGGATAAATCCCAAACTCAACTGTGAGTGTAGCTCAGAAGTTTTAAGCACTTATCCAAAAAATTCAAATTTTCGGAAGACTACAGTATTCTTTAATTAAATTACAGTTGCAAATCACGTATACTGCTCCAAAGAATACAGATAGACCAAATATATTGCCATGAACTACTTGTTATCTCTTATAATGCCTAATTTATAAAACTTCGGGAGCACTGAGGACATTTTGACATATTTAGAACTTTTGGGGAAATTCTTGACATTTCCAAACTCAGTGATGCAGTGTCGGCGGTTATCTTAAAGTTTAGTGCTGTTTTTTACTCAAAAACTATAAAGTGCATCCAAAGTATTTGCCGTCTGGGTGGGTTCGAATTTACAGCTGTCATCCCATCTCCCCTCCCAGATCAATGTGAAACACACACCTAATGATGATAGAGTAGAATCATATTCCTTACGATCACAGTAAGAGCAATGATCCCTGTTGACTATATAAAATTAACTTACCAATGTCATCCTGTTTGGTATTAGTTATGAATAGAAACAATGAAGCAGCTACAATTTCCAGATACGACATAACCGAGGTATGTTTTCTGCTGCGTGAGCAGAAGGTTACGATGAAAAAATCTTAAACAGGTTGTAAAACCCGTAAATCATCCCTTATTACAGGATGCAACGCCCTTAACAAAACATGGCGCGCAGAAATGTGCGCATCAGTTGCTTAGCTAAAACAATAGACACAGCTATAGTCATTGAAAAGATTAAGGGTAGTTGCAGCTGGTTTTATACAGTTGATATTGAACAAGCACCACCTCCAGAGTTTATGATTTCACTGAACTGATGACAAACGAATACTTCTGGACAAAACTTGGACAGTATCGTAGATTATAATTCCACCTCAGGTTGTTTTTTAGATGTGTTGCACAGAGAAACATTGCCGTTTACCGAGAGGTGTGCTAAACACGCCTTGCTGTGCACGACTACGTGGCAAGTATGAACCATAATTTGTCCAAAGCGTTTTTCGGTCATTAATACTGTTTTCCTGTGAAACATCTGTCATACTACCTCCTGACACCAAAATGCCGTAAAGCTTAGAACAAATAAATATCTGAGTATGGACAAATTTATCCGCTTCAGTTTCAGGGGTTGCCCCTATTCTTTTGAGTTATTTCAACTTGTAAGCATCCGCCCTCATGCAACCACAGTTTTGCGTCTTCATGTTGCTGACTAAGAGCTGTATATTCAGAGTCTGCAGTCCAGCTATTGGTCCTGACGATAATGATAATAATTGACTTATTTTTAAAGCTGAATATCCTGAAGTATCAGGGCATCCTCACAGTGGCCCGTCTGACAAGGGAGGTAGAGCAGTTCGACCCTGTATTGCAACGGGAAATTACAAGTATCATTCTAATATCCAATATCCCAATATTTATAGTGCGATCGTAGAAAACTGGTAGTTTTTGGTCTTTCGCGTCTAGTTCTTAGGGCTTGGTTCGAGTTGTTCGGTTCACTTCTGCAGTGGACAAGGAAATCCCCTCTGCTTTCTTGCTTTTAGCTTCGGTGAGGTGGATGTTTTGTGGGTTAGTAGTTTGCAATTTGTAGAGTGATTAGGGAGCTACGGGTTGCTGGGAGGTTTAGGAAACTGCCGTGACTCTTGTCTGTGTAGGTACCTGAAAGAGAATGGTAAGGTAGTGGTAAAGGAATGAAGAGGGAATAAAAAATTAAAAAAGGAGAGGAAAAATAATAATAGTAATATGGGGAAGAGAAAAGGGAAGGAGAAGAAAAGGAGGGGTGAAAAGAGAAGGAAAGAAAAGTATTTGGGAATTGCCCGAATGGTCGCGTGGGTTTGGTTCCTACAGAAGAATTAGTAGGTAATGTGGGTGTATTAAGGAGGGAGATAGTGAGTGGTAGTTAGGAGGGAGTTGGGGGTACTGAGGTTGGTGACTACCTGAGTACGTCCGTGGTAGTCCATGCGAGGTGACATAACTGTCTAATCGCCTCTTGAAAGAGTCGACTGAAGGAGCTATAACGATGTGTCGCGGTAAGGCATTCCATAAAGCACATACTCTTGGGGAGAAAAATTTGGACCTGAGTGTGGTGTTGGCTCTCTGGTGTGCTATCTTAATGGGGTTTCCTCGTGAAGATCGTTCAGTTGCAGGCAAAATTGATTTGTTTGCATGGTCTGCCTGATGGGCGATCTTGTATGCCATAATGAGGTCACCCCTTTTCCTGCGATAACCCAAGGTAAATAGGTTGAGGTGTTTAAGTCTTTCAGGATACGTCTTTCCCCTTAGCCCCACAACTGATTTTGTTGCAGTTCTTTGTATTCTTTCAAGGAGATTAGAGTCTCTCTTGAGTGTTGGAGGAGCCACCGTATTGAAGACCTCTAGGTGCGGCCGCACGTAGGATTTGAAAATGGTGAGGAAGAGTTCGGGAGTGAGGGCGCCAAGCTGTCTACGCAGAAAGTGTAGAATGGCGTTCGCTCTGGTTGTCATACCTTTGTAGTTGGAGCTGGTGTCCAAGGTGTCGGAGAAGTTGAGCCCCAAATCTTTCTCCATGGACACTCTGGTGATAGCACGGTTGCTCAACATGTACTGGAAGTCGGTCGTACTTGCCTCATTTTTACTGATGTGCATTACTTTGCACTTTTCCAGGTTGAAGCTCAGGCCATTTTCCGACGACCAGAGCTCGAGTTGCTGCAAGTCCTTTTGTAGTGCTGCACAATCAGCTTCTTCGTTTACCACCCTCCAAATTTTTATGTCGTCAGCGAAGAGGAGGATGGGTGAGGATATTTTGTCTGGCAGATCGTTGACAAACAGGAGGAACAGAAGCGGTCCTAGGATTGCTCCTTGGGATACTCCTGACGTCGAGGGTCTCCACTCCGACCTTATTCTGTTCACTTTAGTGCAGAACTGCCTCCCTTCCAGGTACTCCTTGAACCAAGAGAGTAGGGGTCCACTTATACCAGCTGACATGATCTTGTGAAGCAGTACTGTGGGTGGGACACTGTCAAATGCTTTGGCTAGGTCGAGAAATACAACATGTACAGGTTTTCTATTATCCCAGCTTTGTGTCCAGTCGTCCCAGGCGGTTAGTAAGTTGGTGGCACATGAGCGACCACTACGAAAGCCGTGCTGAGCAGTGTGGACAGTGTTTTCCTATTGAGGAATTCCCAGATGGTGTCAGCTACCAGGCTTTCCAACACTTTCGACACAATAGGGAGTAGCCGCCAGGGCTTTTTCTGTCTCCTCCCTTGAAGATGGGTGACAAGATGGCACTCTTCCATTCTTTAGGGAGTTTGCACGAGTCTATTGAGTGCTCAAAGAGGTTGCGAAGTGGTTTGGTAAGCACCTCGGCGCAGTTTTTCAGAACCACTGGTTTCAGGTTATCGCAGCCAGGGGACTTGCCCGGACGTAGCCTAGATAGCTTCTCGAACACCTTTTTCTCTGTAATAGAGACGTGACAGAGGTATTCGTTATTTGCGACCTGGTCGGTGTCGTGGCGAGTCGGTGTGGATCTTGTGTCAGTGCTGAGTTGGGCTTGGAAGTGTGAGCTCAAAAGCTCGGCAATCTCTAGACTGCTTAGCACACTCCCGTCATGGCCTGTGACAAGATTCACTCCCTTACTGGTCGACTTTCTTCTTGACATGAAGCGGTACAGGTTTTTGGGGTTGCTTTGTAACCTCGCTGCCAAGTTTGTTTGGTAGGAAAATCTGTCGTTACGCACTCTAATGTTACAGAGATTGCGAATCCTTTTGTAGTTCAAGAAGTCAGACTCCCTGCGTGATGTGCGCCACTTGAACCAAGCCTGCTTCTTGCTCCGGATAAGCCTCTCTGTCCCACGCTTTAACCATGAGGTTCTCATTGATTGTCTGTGTGTTACTTCTGGTACACTGTGACTGATGGCCCCAGTGATTATTTTCTTCACCTCCAACCAGTGTTCATCTATTGTGAGATGAGTCCAGTCCACTGGCCATGATGCATTCATGAGGTAGTCCCTCATGGTCTCATAGTTGGCCTTGCTGTAGCAAGGGAAGGTGTTGGGCGTCTCCAGTTGCAGAGCCTCCCTAGTTATCATGGAGAAGGTGATTACAGCGTGGTCACTGAGGCCAAGGGGAGGTTGGATGCAAACATCCTCAATGAGAAGTTCATCGTTCGTCAGAACGTAGTCAAGGCGCGATGCGTTTCCGTTAGGTCCCCAGCGTGTAGCATCACCCACTTTCTCTGAGAGGCCAGCAGTCTTAATTGCATCCTTCAGCTTCTGATTGAAGGATCTGATGCGTCTCCCTTCCGTCTCGAAGAGGATGGACGGGGTGTTGAAGTCGCCGGCAATGACTACGGAATCGTAATTTGCAGAGGAAGTCGTTAAGATAGCCTTGATGATCATTTCCTTATGTGTAGGGGAGCGGTGGGGGACCGATATATGACTCCGAGCAGGTATTTGGTACTGTGGAGAGTGAAGTAGCACCATAGGGACTCTGGGAGCTGGGTTAAGGCCGTATCGCTAACCATCCTTGCCTTTAAGTAGATAGCCACTCCCCTCCTGCTCTATGTTCCCTGTCCCTGCGGAAGAGTTCCATGCCAGTAACATGCATCTCTTCGTCGGAGATGTCTGGCGAGAGCCAGGATTCGGTGATGAATATGATGTCGGAGTGCTGATGTGCACGCAGCGTCCTCATTTCTGCTACCTTCCCTCTTAGCCCCCTAACGTTGCTGTACATACATATTAGAGTGTGCCTGGTGAGGGGGAGGTCTGGTTGTGTATTTTCGCAGGATGAGCGCTTATGTGGTTGGGTTTAGCCTCGCCAGTCCTCATAGGACTGGCATTGTTCCGTTTTTTGGTGTTTTGTTATTAACTTGGGTGGGGGCTGTGGCAGTGGTGGCTTCTTTACTTGATGTATCTAACTCACTGGTCAGCGCCTGTGTGACGACCACTGACTCCAGAGGTCTTGGTGGTTGTCGTCTCTCCTCTTGCCTTGTGGGTCTAGGCTTACTTTCACATATACGTATTGAGCCACCCATGCGATCCTTCGCATTATACCATGCCTGTAGAACGTCTGTGAGGGAGGCATATGAGTCGAACTGGACGGCGAGTAGTCTGGGATTGGGTATGGTCTTCAGGTGCGCTGGCCTTGGCAGTCTACTGACGCTGTTGGCCGGTATACTGTTGAGACCAACTTTGGTTGAGAGCCATTGCCATTGTTGGACGTCGTGAAAGTACCGATCTTTGACCGAGCGGTCACTTGGCAATTCTGGAATCCCATGTACAACTATAGTGTTGTTTCTGTTGGGATTTCCAACCGCTGACTTTCTCTCCTCCTCTCTTATTGACCATGGCTTGTCAGGCCTGGCCCGAATTTTACAGGCATTAACAACGTCCGGTTGTCGCGAGAGGAGGAGTGTGTCTTCAGCCTCTTTGGCGGTATTTAGGGACACACGTAAAGGGGGTGGCTTATCTCGGGGTGCACGGCTTCCTCGAGAAAGGCGACACAAAGTTGCAGGGAGGGGAGGGAGTCCCAGCATCTGACAGTAGTCGGTCCACATTCGGCTGTCAAACCGTTCCCTCTCGACCAACAAT